AATAAAATTTAAAAAAACAATCAGATCACATCAGTTATTCCTGATATTTTTTTTTTTTTTTTTTTAAATACACATGGTGATTCGCTACTTATGCAACAACAGGTGCTTCAATACTTCAAATGCAACAAAAAAAACCTTGTATGAACCATGGTCTGATTCTCAATCCTTTCGCAGATATTTAATTTTTTTTCTCCAACTATATTATCTACGATCTTCAGCAGAAATCTACTCTTAGCTCTTGAACACACACATTTTTTGGGGGGGAAAAATCTAAAAGTGTGCTAAATTTCCTTTAAGAAGGCACCCTTCTAGAACTTTCAATTAAAAAATATAAAAACACAATCTTTCAAAACTGATAAAGTGAAAATTTGTGAAACATTATATGTTTAATAGCCATAATAGGCTGTATTATTTGGTTTTAATTAACTGTACATTTTATCTAACGTCTTGGTTGGGATGTAAAAGGTAGTGTCGCAAGCAGGATTCGAACCCATGACCTGCAGCTCGATACACCGCTGCAATAACCACTTGAGCCGTCAATATCACAAATTCCGCTTGTGACACTAGCTTTTTCATCTCAACCAAGACCTTAGGTAAAAAGTAAAAATAAACCCAACTTTAACCTAATAAAAAAGCACAAAAAGGAAAGAAATTACAACTTAAAACTGAAACAAAACACTTAAAAATAGAGACAATGAACAGAATTTGTAAAACTCAACTATAAACCCAATAAAAAATGAAGGAAATTGCGCAATGTAAAAATGAAACAAGACACCTAAAATTAGAGACAATAAACAGAATTTGTAAAACACAACTTTAACCTAATAAAAAAGCACAAAAAGGAAAGAAATTGCAATGTAAAAATGAAACAATCACTTAAAATTAGAGACAATGAACAGAATTTGTAAAATCCAAATTTAACCTAATAAAAAAGCACAAAAAGGAAGGAAATTTCAACTTAAAAATTAAATGTAAAAATGAAACAACACTTAACAAAAATGACAAACAGCAAACAACCAAAGCAGAAAACTTTGACAAGATATCTACCCTAAACACATGCAGAAGAACAATACATTATTTGTAAAACCCAAATGTAACCTAATAAAAAAGGAAGGAAATTGCAATCTAAAAATGAAGCAAAACACAAAAAAGCGACAAAAAATAGAAGGAACAACCAAATTAAGTTGATTTTTGTTTGCTTTTTTATTGGGTTGAAGTTGAGTTTACAAATTCTGTAGCTTTTTTCTTTTTCCTTATGCCCACATATACCAATATAGTTATTAATTTTTTTTGTAGTACTGGCGCCCCGAGGGTTGATATGACCCTGTTGCCCCCTGTTTAAAAAAAGCAAATTAAAAAAGGACTGAAAATTAACACTTTTATTAACAAACATATTTTCTGTCAATCAATTTTTTTTTACGTCTTTATTTTCTTACTTTGTACTTGTAAGTTTTGGAGATATATTTTAATTTCCTGTTAGTTTTGTAGTTACCCAATAAAATATGTTGATAAAAATGTCCTTGTGAAGTTGTGTCACAGTTAATTTTGCCAGACCATGATTAAAAAAAAAGATGGGACAAACTGTTGCCTGCGCAAGCGGGAACTGGACTGCACGAGCAAATTAAGGTTAAATAAAAGAAAACTGACTCCCAGAAGAAACGTATCAGGTAATAAACAAAGATCGTAAATATTGAAAATGATTATTTATTAACATTCATGAATAATTATAATAAATTGATTTCAATTTTTTCAGTGGTTATCACGACGCCATGTTTCAATTTTTCCTCTATGTTAGTTGAATAAATTAATTTATAAACAAAAACAGTATGTAGTAATAAAACAATAAATACATAAAATCTAATAAAAAAATAACAGTTTAATTATTTGATTTATGTAACTTAAAAGATTACAATAAAGACATTACAATTCATGACTAGGAGTATTAAATAAATATTAATATAATGGCACAAAACAAAATAAAAATATTTGGCATTTGTGATGTTTCTTTGGTTAAAGAAAAAAAGTAACATAAAAGGTAGTAAAATTGTTCACAATATACATTTCTTTTTAAATATTGAGATTAATTCATTAAATGGTTTAAAACAACCACTCAGTCATATATTAATTACATCCATAAATTTTTTGTAAATATTTTTTTTTGTTTAACTTAAAAAATGCGAGTGAAAGGGAAATTAGGCCACTTAGTCAATTTTGAATACTTGCTAAAAATTATACGTATGTATTATTATAAGTCCTTTTTTTGGTTTACCACACAAAATATTTATACAGATCTTGCTGTACATATTTTTCCTAAAAGCTCAAGACGAGCTGAATGTGAACAAATCGCAACCTGAGCAATTTTGTTCTTGATAACGTCTATATGTTAACTTGTGAATTGCTAATTCTGTAATATGTATAATATATATAATTTTAATTCTTGCATATAAACTTCATTGTACTTAAATTTACAATTAAAAAAAAATTGTTCTTACGAATACAAATAATTATTGATAAAAATCTATAACTACTAAAGGTTAACTTGCGTATTGATCTCAAGTAAACATATTGTACATAATATCTCCTTTTTAAAGGTTTAAAAGCAAAATTTATATAGTGCTAAGAATTATGTGGGAGTTGTCCATGATGGTAAATTAATTGCATATGTTCAGACTAGATATCAGAGGTCCCGACTGCGCAAGCCGGATGGTTATGCTGACGGCGTTTGACAGTGTTTGATAAGGGCGGCAAGAGCCGTCGCCAGCCTTTCAGCTCCTGAGCTGAGGTCTTCCTGATTTTCAGCTACGATGATCCCCTGGACCTGAGTCACTACTTGAAGCACACCAAGCACAAACACGCTTTCCATGGTTACTCCGTAATCGACCGTCTTCCTCAATTGGGACACGACGGACTGAAGGTTCCCTTTGTAATCCCCACTTTCGAGGGTTGTGTTGGCACATTTGTGACTCCTGACAAGAAGCTTAGAAGAAGTTACCAATCTCCGAAGCTCAAGGCCTAGCATGTCCTTTACTTCCTTTAACAAAAAAAAAAATTTTTTGTAGGTGCTTTATTAAATTATTCCTAAATAAATAGATTATCTAGAACATGTGTCTGTGCATTTATATTATTAGTTTTTATTCCATGTGCATAGGGACCATGTCAGCAGTTGTTCAGGTTTTCAGGTTTCCCACGCTCTGGAGTCTGCAGTGTCCAGTCAACAACCCAATGACCAAATTACGATCTTTGGACTTCCTGAACCATCCCCAACCTAGTTCGTTTCATCGCCAGCAGAGAATTTCAAAACTATGCATCAACACAGAGCATTATTTCGTGAACAGCCTTAACTTTAAGCTGATTTTGACGGAAATGAATTTTTTAAGCTGACACCAAAATAGAGCGAATTTGGGATACAAAGCAAACTATATTACTTTTAATGTATTGAATACAATGGTAGTTGAGCCGATGCCACTCTGGATCCTCCCTGCTGTACTCGTCAGGGCAATCTCGCAGTACTTCCAAGATCATTTAGACTGTGTACCAAGCTGTGTTCCTAGAACTCAGATCAGGATATGCCAGTTTTTGCCGCGTCTAAATGGATGCGTCTGGAACTGTATATTGGTGGCACACCCACTTCATGACTGGTCTGCAGCACTACAGCGTGTACAGGATGCAAATTGGCACATGCTCAGAGTGATGGAGGCTCTGCCTATCTTGTCTGTATAGACTTCCTAAGCCAGTCATGACAAATTCTCAGCAGAACCTCTCATCGTTCTCTTATTAGAGAGATATGCTGAGTTGAAGCGCCTTGGAAAACCAGTGGTGGTCGTCTGGGTACACAGACATGTTGGGATGGAGAGCAATATACAATCAGACGAAGTGGTGAAAGCGGGGATATCTTGCCCTCTGGCAGAACCACCACAGTCCGGCATAAAAGAATGTTAGCAGTGTCGATGAGCCGGATCGTCTGAGAAGCTCTTGCTTGCCAAGAGCACGACAGGGAGATGGCCCACCAAAGGTCGGAAACGCAAGGAAGGGATTGTACTCACCCGTTTTCTGGATAGGCCGGACTTGATTGACACACATACCTGCTTGCGGAGAAAGGTTGCTCATTAATGACCCAAATAAAAGATAAATTTAAAGACCAACAGGACTTTTTGGAAGACCTTGTACCCTTTTTTTTATACACAAAAAAAAAAGGCTAAAATAGTCGGAGTTTAGTTGTTGGGAATGGAGCAAGGTGACAGTAAGGCCGCGAGGAGGAGAGGAGAGAGACGAGTTTGGTCAGGTCGGCGTGGGGACACCGACAGACAGATCAAGCTCACTGGTGATTTTTCCTCAGGAAAAGAAAGGGAAGGAAAGGAAGAAATACATCATCCACAGCTAAGTGTGTGTGTGTGTGTGGTGGTGGTCAGGCCTGACTTGAAGTTCTCGGGCTTCAACATCAAAAAACATCGGTGTAGGAATAAATAAACTGTAGTAGAGTGTGTATACGCACTATTGTTATCAATTATTATCCGAGCTAATTAAACTATTTTTTTGTTATAGTTATAAGAGGTACCTTTTCTTTTGATTGTTATTAATTTCTTTTTGCTTGTGAGGACATTAGTATTAAGTTAATTTCTTAACTTAATTTTTTTTTTTTTTTTAAATAAATTGTATGAAGGGATCTGTTAGTTGTATATTTTACCTTTAGTATTGCCATGTATTTTGAAGAGTTTTTAAGGGTTCGCGTTGCTTCAAGACCAACGGAAGGAACTCTCGGCCATCAGTCCTCGGTAGCAACGTGGATAGAGGCGCTACTCCCAATAGTGGAACCCGGGATCTAATTGTAACTACGGCCAAATATTTTTTTCCTTTTCACCTCTCTTCCTTTTCCTTTTTCTTTCTTTATTTAATGTTAGTTCCTGTTTCTTTATCTATATTTTTTTTTCTTTTTCCATATATATTATTCCCCTTTCCTCCCTCAAACAAGCTCCTACCCATCCGCATTACATTATTATTAATTTTGTTGCTTCTTCCTTTGTTTCCCTTAGACAACAAAAGGAGGACGACTGGCGCCCAACATTTTATTTCTTTCGTTGACATTTTTTTAAATTATCAATTAACCCACCCCCTTCACCAATGACTGGCTGGTCACCTAGGTGAGGTTTCGACCATAACAACCTTGTATTGAAGAATGAATATTTTTTCATAATTAAGTGCAAACACACCGGATTAAAATGGTTAATCTTTACCTGATTTGTGTTGACACTCCTTTCTGTCTGCGCCAAAGCAAGGCTAAGGACATCACTGAAATCCGTAGTCACTTTTAAAGCCTCAACATTCATATCAGATTCTCCCTAAAAACACATTTAGAAAATTTTGTTTTGTCATTTTTACAAGCAAATTTTTTAGGCTTACGAGAAAGTTTTTCCTGCTGAAGGAGTCGGACCTAGGAGGCAATGGAGGTGGATATTTTAATGTACACTTTGGTGGCCTTTCGGGCATTGCCTGACCGGAACAGGCTCTGGGATTGACTTTTGCACTTTTATCTCCTTCCTTCGGTCCGTTTTCCTCTATAGCTTTACGCAATTCCTCCTGAAAAATTTGGCCAGTTAAATTATACATGATCACAACAAGAATTGTGAACTAGACGGAACTAATTTACCAGCGGTGGCGGAGGCGGTGGTATTATAAAGGCAGATATCTGCTCGGTTGTGAGTTTTACAGTAGGATCGACTGCTTCTGGAGGCGGAGGCGGCACCACTTTGATTGTTTCCAAGAACTCCTCAAGTCCAAGGCTAAGTAACTGCTCCGCCACTGGTCCGATATCCTACAAATACAATAATAAAATAATATAAACATGAAAAAACAATAGTTGAGGGGTTTTTAACCTTGTCTGGAGTAATAGGCGGTGGCAAGAGGGTCAGATCTATAATCTCAGGATCGAGACAGAGCATAGCTTGCCCATCGGCGTTTCCTGTTTCTTGAACCTTTCTCCAAACTTCCTGCAATGCTTCAAAGGTGGAAGTGCCTACAAGATTGTCCGGGCTATGAAGGCCAAAGCTAGAATCTGAATCTCTATTCGGTGTCTTAGCTAAAACAAGATGTAACAAGAAATAAACGAAAATAAATTAAAATTTCAAAATTAAATTACCTATACTATTGTGCGATGGACTAGTAGTAAGAGAGTCAGTATCGCTTTCTGTGTCTCCTACTTCTAAGGAATTAAATGCTTCATTCACACACTGTTCTATCTCCTTTGATTGATGAAACAACGATAGATTAAATTGTGAAACATTAATATTAAAAATTATTTCGGTAGAACAACCTGAGTGAGCAAAAGGAGGGAATCGCTGTGTTTGAGCGAGGCCGGTGCCGGGTTATCACCATCTATGGACATGTGGGAAGTATCAGAGTCGCTGTTCTCTCTCTGGTGCTTGGACAGATACTCCTCAGAGTTCTCCACCACTGCTTGCATCTCTGCCACCCTGCGTACAACCTGCAAAGTTACAATTGAACATTATAAAGCGATTCTTTAAGACAGAAAAAAAAATTAAAACTGTGAATTTATGCAGGTTAAAATTGCTAAAAAAGCCAACAACTTACACATCAGTTATGATTTTCACTATAAACCCTCCTGAACGAAACAAAACTAATGGATTCTACAAATTATTTGATTTCCCTTTTAACATGCAATGAATCAAAGCCCAAATTAATTTAATTACAAAATAAAATCACTGTGAACGACTCAAATGTTATTACTGTGGTTGGAAGAATACAATATTAACAAGGTATGCATTCGACACCCACATGGGAAAAATGTACCAATAAAGGTCTTTGCCCACTAGAACATAACATACTAGGACTGTGTCAGGCACGAAAAAAACAAACAAAAAAAACACTCCGGTCACTACTATGCCCACTGCAACGGATGAACCGCGTTCTATACCCGTATGGGACGCATATGTAAAAACATTTCGTAGCCGTCCTGCTTCACTGTTGTACATTTCTTTTTTTAAAATGCGTCGTTTGTGAACTTTTGTTTTCTTGTGTGGAGTAAATTTGTTAAATAAAGTATGGCTATTAGAAAATTATCTATACGACAATTGGCCCTGATTGCCATTATTTTGGATGAGGAAGAGTAAAACCAAAAAAACACTAGATGTTGCAAATTTTATAAAAACTCATAATTACGAACATATTCTATTGTTGTTCATCCTCTATTTTTATTAAGACACAAACACTCACAACACAACAGAACACAAACACAGATCTCTTCGTCAAATGCAAAGAACTTGTGTGGAACGGGATAGCAATGCAGTAGGCCGGATGGGCGCAACCATCACGTGTCATACACGAAGCGGGCCAACACCTACAAAATATTTTTTGATTTTTGACTGAACGTGCTTGGCACAGTACAGTGTTGGACGGTGACGGAACAGTTTAGTGGGCATTTTCTAATACTAACTGATGTAAAGAATATTTGTTTGCATGTGTCGATACGGTTGCGGTCCTGGTATGATACGTTCTAGTGGGCACAGACCTTAAAGTTGATGAGAAACATAAATGGATACACAAAACAAAAATTGAACAGATTTTCTATTTTTAAGGGATTAACTGAGTGACTTTTTTTTCTGTGAAACTAAATATAGTATTTTTTTTAAAACATTTCTGCATCATTTGGCTAAAAAATGCCAAATTTAAACAATAATTTATTATTTTGCCTCATTACTGTCCCCATATAGTGTAATCTTGGGAGAAAAACCATACGAATCAATAGTTTGGTTTTTTACAATCATTTCAAGTGGCCAATGCTCACTTTTTTGGTTGTCTAACACAGCTTTTCCCCTTCTCCAGTTTTGGAGGATGCAATAAAAATAACACTGTCGATGACAAAATGCCAAAATGAGTCCATCAAACCAAAACGGCATAAGCTACCAGGAGTGATCATTAACAACTGAACTACAGATTTGTTTTATTATTCTCCCAACAAGCAAATTATGCATAAGCAATTTATGATAGGTTCTGAGTACAAAAAGGTGTAAGCAAAATTTTCTATTGTCTGAATTGCATCTAGGCCAACTGTCAATCATGGAATAAAACAATATGTTGTGACAATAAGTCAGTTGGCTTTTTTAACTCAACATAATAGATTTTATTGGTTTTACAATTAATTATTGACCTGGAGAAGAATATAGAAAAATTAAATTAAATTAAAAAAATAAATGGTCAATCTAGCATACTCTGCCTAATTTTATTTGGCTTTGTTTTTGGTTAGATAAAAGTTTTAATTAAAAAGCTGATTAATAGGTACATACCATGCTTGAATTATGATTTTTATAAAATATTTGTTTTTAAAAATACGTTACGAATTTTTTCCCAAATCAAAATGAAATGGTGATTTGTTTCTGATGTACTAGAAGGGACAAGGGACAAAGAATTCTATCTGAAAGAACTGGTAAGTGTGTAAAAATTAGCCATTTTTACAAAATTTTGAATGCAACAGTAAAAAAAATTTAAATAATAAAAAAGGAGCAAGCATTTTTTTAAACATAGAAAATGAAAATTTGGTGTCTAGAGAAGTAGACAAGATACATGTTTAAGGGTTTTTATGTTTTTTAATTTCTATTTTGTCAGTGATTTTCTGTTTTTGAAGTACCTCGGGGTTATGAGCATCAATGTAACCCTCCTGTTCGAGAATTTCCATCGAAACAACACTGTGGAAGTCAATACCGTTGTTACTTGGTGACAAGGGATTCATGCCATTCCTGTCTCTCACTTTACCAGGCCTTTAAGGAAATCACACAAATGGTATTAAGTAGCACAGAGAAACAACAAAATAGTACATAAAAAAAACACAAAGGATGAATTACAACAAGTTATGAATTGTAAATAATACTTTGTTCACAAGACTATAACTCAAAAATTGTGCAAATCTTGAAAAAGTGTATGATTACAATCACCTTCAATATTTGCACAGTTTTTTTTAATAAATTAACAATTGTCAAATTAAAAAAATAAATAAAAAACCAACATATGAGCCCATGTACAGAAAAAAATGAATTAAGTGTTTTTTCATGTTTTTCCTATTTTAAAACTATTACATATAGCTTCCATGCATAGAAAACAGTGTTCTTTTGACATGTTTAAAATACGACTTTGTTTTACTTACACATTCATGTTGCTATCAACCCCGTTACTTCTAATTACTTTACTATTACTTCTACTCAGTGTGTGATTTCCATTTGTCTTGACCTACAAGGACAATTTCATCAATTTGTTAACTCTTTTTTAATTTAATTGGTCGATTGATTGAAAATTTTGTCACTGACTTGTCTATTTGGGTTGAGTGTGTGAAGAGGAATTGCAAAATTGACCATCCTGTGCTCTTCGTGATCGCCGTCCAATCCGTAGCTCCAGAATGCCGGTTTGACGACATGCTGCGAGTGATAGAGGGGTGCTGAAAATTTAAATAGCGCATCAAGATTTTTGCATTTTTTTAAATTACGATAAAATAGTAATAATTGCCTGTATCGATGATCCATTCATCAGGATCTTGATGTACTTGTAGATCGGAGCCGGTAAAAAGTTTAAAATAGCCTTGGAGTACGAGAACCAACTCTTCAGCATCTCTCTCTTCCACCGTAAATCTTAGTTCCTAAAATTGTGATAAAACTTTATTGCTGATTACTAAAGACTGGATTAATGTGCAATTGTATTTTTTTATTTTTTTTTATTTTTTTTTTATTTTTTTTTTTTTACAAGGGTTCCTAACAGCAGAGGTCATATAAACCCTCAGGGTGCTGGTGTTTTTCAAGAAAAAGCCCATTTGTAAGTATGTCAGGTTTGAATGCAGGGCCACTGAATTCGAACCCAGGACCTTTACCTTACAGTGATGAGCACCGTGTCAACGCCTAAACCATTGTGGCCACCGACGCCCCTATTTTTTTTTCTCGCTCCGACTGTAATGAAGACAGATACAGTAATCCCATGACACTTTCAGTTTTGATATTTGCAGTTTTCACTATTCACGCTTGAAAATATGAGGAAAGATTTGATATTTGCGGAAGTCTGATTTCTTTATTTGCAGGAAAAAAAACTTATGTAAACAATTCTATTTTCCTATCAAAAATAATTCTTTGAATAATGGATTGGAGGCTCTGATTGATTCTCTCAAAACTTTTGCCTGCTTTCAACAAACTGTTCCTTCTTTATTCTAAGTTTGTTTTATTCTCTCGTGGAAGTTGTGTTGCAAAATGCCTCCTCTTCCAAAACAGAAAAAACTGTCCTGACACTTGGCGAAAAAATAAATTTTTTGGACGTTATATTTTTTGTGCAAGTCAAAGCTTTTCGTCAAAACAGCTCTGGGAAATTTTAACCTTGAGGGACCAACTTATTAAAAAAGCAATGGATTTCTACTCATCTTTAAATTGAAGTTTTAAGTTTAAAAGGGATGTCAAAGCCATTTCAAATCCTTAATTCTTAAAGAAATTAATTATTCAGTGAAACAGCGTCCAATTATTTCTTTTTAAATTTATTAGGTTTTGTGGTCCGATTGACGAAATAAATTATTTTCAATTAATTAATCTTTAAATGAGGTATTGGTTGAGATAAAAAAAAGTCAGTGTCACGAGCGGGATTCGAACCCACGATCTTCGGCTTGATACCCCGCTGCTCTACCACTTGAGCTATCGTGACTTCGATCCATTCGGACACCAACTTCCCATCTCAACCCCACCTTTTAAGTTTTCCCTCTTTTTTGCCATTTTTCAAATGTGTAATCTATTTGATTCCGGCGACAAATGAAATGGCCATGGAGAGCTTTAGTGAAGCTCATTTTGCTTATTAAATCCATTAGGTTTCATGGTCCGATTGATTTATCTCAAACAATACCTTACTTAAAGATTAATTAATTGAAAAGAATTTATTCGGTCGATCGAAACTTTTTTATCAATTTTCTGGTGCCATTTCAGGGTTGAGATAACAAACGGATCAAAGTAGCTTACAGAGGAAACCCGTTTATCCAGACCCCGATGATCCGGACTTCCGGATTATCTGGACCTGTTTGTTAAAATATTTTTTATAAATTATTTGGAGATTGTGAAATGCGATCTGGTATAGAAGTGTATAGTGGTATACTCCCACAATGTCCAAATAATCATTAATTAACGGTCACTAAACAACACACATTTTTTAATAAATTTCTCATAATTCTCACTGTAGGTATATAAATTTTTTAAAATTAATAATTCAACTATGGGACCTTTAATTCGTCATTTAAAAAATAAATAAAATAGAAAAAAGGTGTGTACTATTTTAAAAGACTAAACATTGTTTTGTCGTGTTGTTCGTATATTGGCTTCCATTGAAAAGGTTTTTTTTATTACGTATATTTTTATTAGGTATTTTTTACATATAAATTTTTCAAGAAATGCGTGTCCGGTCTTAAACAAAAATAAAACTATATATTACTTTAAATGTTACTTGATATATGAATAAAAGTTTTCACTTTCATAAGGGCGTTTTTCCATTTTTATGATATGATACTAATAAAATCACAAATTTTCAGATTATCCAGACAAGTCCTGGTCCCTTCAAGTCCGGATAAACAGATTTCTTTCTACTGTATCTGTTTTTGGTTAGTCAATTTTTTTAAAAATTTAATGCAGCACACTTTCAATAACTTTTTCTCTCATATATGCAAACGCACTTTTTAAAAATTATGATTGGTTGGTCACCCATACAAAAGCTTCTCTTCCAATCCAGCCATACATTTATATTATTATTTTTTTTTTTTTTAAACAAAATTTACCTTATTGGGTGTTGATGGTAAAAAAAGTGTAACAGTTGAAAGCAAATGGTCTTCTTTTTCTATTTGAACCATGCAAAGTTGTTCAATGTCAGCAACAGAAATTGGCTATAAAATAATTTATAACTTTAATCATCAACCCATATTCTTAATATTAACAATTTATGAAGATTTGGTATTAAAAATATATTCATTCCAATAAACAAAGAAAAACAACTCACCATATTGTTTCTAAGACCGGTGATTTGACTAATACCCAGTTTTGGGCTCACAAGTATCACATTTTCACCATTGTTATCCTGTAAAACATCATTATTAATTTTTATAATTTAATACAAAAAATAATTTATTTGATGTATGTCACTACTAACCATGCTATTTGTAGGAAAGCATTTCGCTCCGTAACTTGGCAATTGACTAATTATTGTCAGGTAGTACAATTTCGCTTGTAACGCTGTTAGACATTTGTGGCTCGACCCAGTCATAGTATAATTGAGTTTTAAAAGATGCGTGAGCACTTTCCTTAATTCCTTCCTTTTCATCGTTTCCAAAAGAGACGAGGGAACAAATTTTTCAAGCCCGAAGTCTCTTCTAAAAAAAAAAAAAAACAGCAATTATTCGTACAACGCTTACAATTTAAATACTTTGTGTTATTATTTATTATACGTACTCGACAGACTTGACGGTTATTTTTGATGGTTGAATATTGTTTGCTAAACAGTGCTGGTGAATATGTAATGCTGCTAATCTTAATGCTACATCGTATTTTAATTCTGGGGCATACCTCTCTTGGACTATATCATTACAACACTGAAACACACAGGTTTGTATTATTTATTGAATTAAAGCAAAAAATGTGCGAGTAAATACTTGAAGATAAAAATATTCAAAAGCCGATAAGTCTTTCTGCGCTAAATCACATGGATCGCCTGGTACAAAGGCGACTCTGAACAGGCACCTCAGATTATGTGTTCCAGGCCTGGAAGCAACCTGTGTAAAAGGAAAACAGTTTTAAAATAACCTGAAAACATTTTTAACACTGTATATAAACCGACCCTTGATAGGGTATGGTGAGGGTTAAGGAGTGTCAGCTTGTTTCGCCTCAAAGTTTTAACTTGTTCCAAAACTAACGCAAAATGATTCGTCTCTTTCAAACAGAGCTTGGTCTCAAGTGATTGAAGTACATCGCCAACAGTCGTACAGCTATCGTATTTGAAAGACTTGGTCTGCCCGTTTTCAAGGAACACTTTCAGCACATTCGGAAGGACGGTGCCAGAGCCCCAATCGCCTCCACTCAAAGTGCAACCCTAGAAAAGATAAAAAGTCGGAGTTTTAGCAATCCAATAAAGTTTTAAACAAAATTTAGAAATAATTATTAAAATTACTGGAAATAAAGGAGAACCGTTGACAACCACTCCCTCTGCAAATCTGACCCTGGATGGATTAGTTTTTAATTTTGCTTTCTTTGCTGAACTCAGAATTGCAGATTTTCTAGATGACTGAAACAAACAAAAGATATCAATTAAGACAAAGAAAAAATGAAATAATACATTAAAATTTTTCCAAGCATAAATAAAGCACAATATAATTGATTTCTAACAGACCAGAGCATTTAATTTATACAGTTTTTCTTTGAGATTGCTTTGATTAAATTATTATCACAAAAACAATTAGTTATAGTGATTATGAATGATAATGTTGGACTAATTTAAACATAAAACATTTCCTTTTTCCTGTTAGAGACATAATTTGTCTTGACTTATTAACAATACAAATTTTGTACGTACATTTATGAGTACAGGTTGACATACGACGAGGTCGACTGTTGTCTTGGACGCTCTGACGAGCTGAATAACATGATCTCTCGGGGCACAGCTCACATCTTCCGAATTGACTTCGAGGATGTGATCTCCGGGAAGCAGCTTCCCCTCGCTTGGACCCCCTTCTGTCACGAACCTAGAAATTAAAATAAAACCATTAACAACTCGAATCAAACCAGTTATTAATTATAGTAATAAACTTTTATATGCATATAATTATAAGAAATATATGTAAAATGACTACAAAATAGGCATACACAAACTAGAATAACTGAAAAGCCTCAGCTTCATTTTCAATGACATTAATAGTTATTTTAAAAATTTAAATTTATATAGTATCTTTTAATTAATCTTTATGTAAGGTATTGGTTGAAATGAAAATGCTAGTGTCATGAGTGGAATTCAACATACCTTTAGAATTTTCCCTCCTTTTTGCCATTTTTCAAATGTGTAATCAGGATTCAATTCTTGGCGACAAATGAAATGGCCACGGAGAGCTCTTAGTGAAGATAGACTTCGTTTTATTTTATTAAATCCATTATATTACGTGGTCCGATTGACCAAATTACTTCTTTCAATTAATTAATTTTTATGTAGTAGGGTATTGGTTGAAATTAAAAACCTAGTGTCACGAGCAGGATTCGAACCCACGGCCTTCGGCTAAATACGTCGCTGCTCTACCACTTGGACTATCGTGACTTCCATCCATTCGGGCACCAACTTCCCATCTCAACCCCACCATTCGAATTTTATCTCTTTTTTGCCATTTTTCAAATGTCGTGTAATCAGAATTCGATTCTCGGCGACTTATGAAGTGGCCACGAAGAGCTGTTAGTGAAGATATACTTCTTTTTACTTATTAAAACGATTATATTTAGTGGTTTGATTGACCAAATTACTTCTTTCAATTAATTAATCTATGTATTGAGCCGAAGGTCATGGGTTCGAATCCCGCTCGTGACACTAAGATTATGATGCATGTTCTCATAAGGAACGTTTGTTCAAAGAAAACAACAACAACAAAAATCGCCCGACAAGCTTGTTTCGGAAAAGTTGGTACAATATTTATACAATATTTTAAACCAACGTTTAAACGTACTAAAAACAATTAATTAAGGTTTTTAGTTGAGATGAAAAAGTCAATGGCACGAGCGGGATTCGAACCCACGACCTTCGGTTCAATTCGCTACTGTTCTAACCACTTGAGCTATCGTGACTTCGATCCATTCGGACACCAACTCCCCATCTCAACATACCTTTAGAATTTTCCCTCCTTTTTGCCATTTTTCAAATGTGTAATCAGGATTCAATTCTTGGCGACAAATGAAATGGCCACGGAGAGCTCTTAGTGAAGATAGACTTCGTTTTATTTTATTAAATCCATTATATTACGTGGTCTGATTGACCAAATTACTTCTTTCAATTAATTAATTTTTATGTAGTAGGGTATTGGTTGAAATTAAAAAGCTAGTGTAACGAGCGGGATTCGAACCCACGACCTTCGGTTCAATTCGCTACTGTTCTAACCACTTGAGCTATCGTGACTTCGATCCATTCGGACACCAACTCCCCATCTCAACATACCTTTAGAATTTTCCCTCCTTTTTGCCATTTTTCAAATGTGTAATCAGGATTCAATTCTTGGCGACAAATGAAATGGCCACGGAGAGCTCTTAGCGAAGATAGACTTCGTTTTACTTTATTAAATCCATTATATTGCGTGGTCCGATTGACCAAATTACTTCTTTCAATTAATTAATCTTTATGTAAGGTATTGGTTGAAATGAAAAAGCTAGTGTAACAAGCGGGATTCGAACCCACGACCTTTGGCACAATTCGCCTCGATTTTTTTTGATCAGATGAGATTGACGATTCTTGTTTCGCACATTTTGCAAGATGTCTAGGCCTACCTGACTGTCTGTTTTAATGATCGCTGTTTTTGGAGCTTTCCATTTCTCATCCTGAACTACAATCCACACTAAATATTTTGAGATAGCCAGAAGTTCAGCCGTATTGCTGCACCGTTCCACCAGTTTTATTTTGCTGGTGTTAATTACATCTTTATCTTGTCCATAGATAAGGAACACCGCTCCAACTTGGTTACCTAATTGGCTGCCAGTATATATACGCAGGTACTGCTTCTGTCATTGTAATAGAAGTTTAATTGGTGACTGCTGGATGGGGCCCCTCTGCTGGAGGTACTGGCGTATTTATTTTTTTAAGGTCAAATGCCTTATGAAAGTTCAATCCTAATACCACTACCCAGCTTTTTTCTGCAGCATAACATCCTATTTCCTTTTACGATATTTGTACAAATTAAAAAGAAAGACAGTCACTTCAAAGTGGCCGTACTTAAGAAGAATTTGTGAATTTCTTATTCCGAGAGATATGGCACGCGCAAGGAGGGTATAATCAATCCGCCGTCCCCCTGTTTCCAAGGGGTCGAGCTGGACAATATATTTCTCCCCCGAATGAAACAAGTTTAAGATGAAACAACTTTTCTGCGACTTCTGTGGGCTCAATTTGTGTGTGGAAGCCCTCGACGAGTTCGTAGTCGCGATTTCCAGTCGGTCGGTTTTCTTTGAAGTTCCTTGCGCCATTTACAAATAGGGGGTTCAACGAGCTCCATCCAGTCGGGCAAAGGGATTCTATTGATCAAATAGAATAATTTAAACACGACTTTTTTTTATCTTTCGTCTGTATTGTGATAAAACTATTTGTGTTAAATGAGATTACAATTCGACGAACTCGGACTGATAGGTACGCCTACACGGCCAGACACGCGCAGAAAGTTTGACCTGCACAATTGTTCACGAACACTGGATCAAGGTATGGTCTTGAAGAAAAAAAGTAAATCCAGTTGTTACTAACAAGATTTCGACCTATTTTAAAGTCATCAGATAAAACAATTCTTTGCAATGTTGGGACTGAGTCAGTCTTCAAGGAGATTAGAGATCGCCTGTGAAAAAGGTATTGTTGAGATTAAAAAGTCAGTGTCACGAGCGGGATTCGAACACACGACCTTCGGCTTGATACGCCGCTACTCTACCACTTGAGCTATCGTTGAGGTTGAGATGGGAAGTTAGTGTCCGAGGGGATCGAGGTCGCGATAGCTCAAGTGGTAGAGTAGCGGCGTATCAGGCCGAAGGTTGTGGGTTCGAATCCCGCTCGTGACACTGACTTTTTTTATCTCAACCTAAAACTTTAATTAATTGAATTGTATTAATTGGTCAAGCGGACCACGAAAAATAGTGAATACTGAAAATATTAAATTGTTAACATCTTGTAATTTGTTCTTAACCGACCAATTTCGACTGCCTATTCTAGCTGTTTTGGTTTTTTAGTGGTGTCACGGTTTCTCGTCATCCTCAGTTTTGAGTTTGTGTGCTATTTATTGTGTGCGACTACATGAATTAACGAACCATTCCTGAAGGAGAAATGAATCTCACCGACTAATGACCTCAGACCTCGGGATGAAATCACATTAAATAACATTTGACTTGAAGGATCGGAAAACTGCTACTCATAATTCTTCTCAAAACTGACAACAAAGATCTTAAAAAAAAAAACTACAACCGTACTATAGAAGAATTTCATTTTAAAAATATACGGAATTTGTAGGTCAGGCGTTTTTTTTCGGCTGGTATATTGAAAAACAGCAGACTATAAACCAACTAATAAACAATTGTGAGGACTGCGTGGTGGCGAACTTACAGCTTGATCTTTTCCTATCGTTTAGGTCCGCCTATCCTCGCTGTTTTTGTCTGTCAGATGCATTTCAGCATGTTGTCATTGATTGACCAACTCTGTAACTCTGTAACCACAGAGAGGTGTCAGTCTTTGTCTCAAAGTGTATCAAATTCAGAAGGTTAGTAATCAATCGATTCCTTTTAATTTGTTTTTTTCCGATCAGTTCCGCCTAGTCTCCCTATTTTAGTTTGTTATAAGAGTTTCACCAGTTTCGAATGGTGTGAAGGTGAAAATTTTGAGAGAAAACAATTTATTTTTCGAATTACTCAAAAAATTTTATAAGGTTTTTTTTTTTTTTTGTGGGTGCGAAAAACTAATATTAACTTTCTTTCTTCCTAAAGAAAAATCACATACTTGGAAAAAGTTAAGGAGGAACAGAAAGAAGAATGGCGAGGAGCATCCATGGCACAAAATGAAAATAGATTTCTGCGCTGTACCCGTAGTTAAAAAATAGTCGTCTCCGATCATCCTGGTCCGCTTGGTCTTGCTGGGTTGGTCATTCGGGCATTCCAGGCTAGTATGTGCAACACTTCCACCCTCCAAACTCTGGTATTTAGTTATGTACTTTTTCTATCAGTTCATTGATTATGTCAATGTTTTAACCATTTTTATTGATTTTAAATCTAGTTTTTTTTCTTCACCTTTAAACCTGGCAGTTTTTATAATTTATTAAATAATAAAATGAAGTGGTAAACTGTTTAAAGAAACTTAGATTGTACAATAGTGAAAAACCCAACTGAATTTCCTCCGTAAGGGCTTGTGTAGAATTTTTTAGGTCAATAAATCTATTTATTTATTATGTATGTTTATTATGTAATTTACCTGACGATGACAGGCCTTTCGGAGCCGGCGACAAAACCGAATCCCAGCTCGGAGTGCCTCGTGAGGCTGACCTGCCTCGGTTGAGGTGGCTCCTCGCTCCAGTCGAGCACCGGCTCCTCGTACGTTGTCGTTTTGTTGACATGGCTGAAAATAAAAGGGAAAAGTTGGAAAATTGAAAGGAAACGACTGGAAAGAAGGAAAAGCCGAAGGCTTACTTGATATAGTAGGTTTTCCCGTTGGGATCAACGGCTTCTTCCCATCCAAACGGCAGTCCCCGTCCGACCTCCTTGCCCCAAACTTCGACCGGGGGAATCCAGGAGCATGTATCACTTTCCTCACTGAAAACAAAAAAATAAATATATATCTTCATGTAATATTTTTAAAGTTATTCAAACATAACTAGCATTTTGGATTGGCTTATTTATCCATCGTTGCCAAGAATTTCATTCACGCGTTGACTTTTATTTTTATAATTATGAAATATTAAATGTTAAGTGAAATTTCTTTACTTTAATTATTCATTTTATCTATGGTCTTAGTTGAGATGGAAAAGGTAGTGTCACGAGCGGGATTCGAACTCACGACCTTCGACTCAATACGCCACTGCCCTAACTACTTGAGCTAACCACTAAGCAGCGAGGTCTTGGGTTCGAATCCCGTTCGTGATACTAACTTTTTCATCACAACCAAGATCTTAGTTAAAATGAATAATTAATTGAAATAATTAATATGGTCAATCATGACCGCTAAACATTGGGTTAAGTGAATAATTTTCACAATCCTGTTTTGAAAGTCTTTCGTAAAATAAGTTAAAATATTAGTAATTACTCAGTCTCATAACCATCTAGTTAAAAAATAAGCACTTTTTGAAATGCAGTACTTTTTCTTTTTCTTGTAGGAGAGGCACCACGAATTGGAGTCTCTAAGCAAATCTGTGGTTGTTGTCCAGGTCTGGAGGGTGACGAAAATGCGGGGACGTCCCAGCCTACGGACTTAACCACCGGCGGTGCTAAAATGCATTAAAAACACGATTTAAAAAAAGTGGCATGTTAGTGGGTCGGATCGCCAGAAAAGCTCTCACATATCTGAGGACCCTAGGACGATCTGACTCGTAGAAGAGGGGTCATCTTCACCAGATTAAGAATAGGCCATACAAGGTTGATCCCGGACTTACTTTTGGACCAAAGCCCGCATATGTGTCCGGCATGTAGATAAAGGTTGCTCAATGAGTCCCTCCTAGTTAAAGAGTGCCACTCATTGGCTCCATATAGAGAGCACCTAGGTATGCCACCCTACACGAGAATTATCTTTGAGCACGGGACTGAATGCACTGTGTCCTGCGCTCCGATTTGTAGAGATTGTTTTACTGTTTAAGGTACTTTATACTTATCTCGTCTTGTGTTTTTATGTGTGTATTGATCTGAATGTATTTATTAGTGTGAATGTGTAGTGTGAGAGGACCATTTGCGAAACATTGAGTATGGAGGATCGTCAATTAGTCCACCAGCCCACTGTGTGAATGGCATGTAAATAGGAAAGAATACATTTAAGAGTGCATATATGTGAGTGTTTGTTAGTGAGTTTGGATCTAGAAACTAACTGCATTGGGGGTTGAAATGTCCTAGCTGTTGATAACCCCCGAAGCCCAACCTCAGTGAAGGGAAGGCCAAGACGAGGCCTGCGTGATTCTGGAGGCCTACCGCGCATTTACAACTGGAACTGCGTGTCGATGGATGTACATGCGTGTACAAAACTGAGCTAATGTAAATCAGTAATGTCCAGAGGTTTTGTCCGACAATGGGGATGTACACCCAAATGTGCTATTTCTGAATCAATATAACATACGGATCTAGCACGGTCTGCTACTCTTTGTGAAGTGTAGTTCGGCCATTTCTGATCATTTTGGTCTTCCTATACCCGCTGTGGTTATAATATAGAAAAAAAACTAAAAAAGAAAATATCAGTTCAATGGCGAATGATGGCATCAATAGCCCCGCACGCATAATGGCGAAATGCCGAAACGCGTCTGGCAGGCCAATACAGCGAGGCTTGGCGGACCCAATTATATTTGCCTAAATTAGTAGCAATGCATTTGTGAACTGGGAGTTTCCCGGACCGCTACATCAATTTGGACTTCTTTAGCCTTAACGATGTTAGCTGTAAACGATGTTTCTGAACAATGTTTATGAAACATATCGCACCAAGCTCAACCTTGTTTCTAGTTTGTTTCGAAACTGTTTTGCGAAACAAAAAATGTTCATGTTAAATGGGAAAACATCGGCTACATCGAACACTGGGTGTGTTTACAAATACAGCTCAGCCAACTAATTCTTTGTTTAGTTTGAGTTTAGCCATTAACGTGGAATCAAGAGTAAAACTTTAAAACTAGTCGAAAATGTACATAGTGTTTCTGGGATGTTACAAGCAGTGGATTATAAAAACAAAAATCAAAAGAAGGTGCTTCTTAAAAAGAAATCATCAGATACAACAGTCACTATGATTGATGTGCACATCCTTAAATTACAATGATTGTTTCAAAGTTTTCCACCACCCTAAAGCAACCGAGTTTTGAAATAACAGCACCAGCTTTGTAAAACTTCTAAAACATGCTCTGTCTTAAAAGTTTAGGTCTGTCTAAAACTGATCTTTCCATTTTCCACTTTTCTTGTTTTCGCCCAATTCCTTTCTTTATTTCTTTAAGCGTTTGGGGGCATAAACTTCCGCAATAGCATCACTGATGATTATCACTTGAGAAACTTAGAAATACTCAATGAGATTTGGACGCGAAACAATGTACACAGGTTGTTCCGAAACAATGTTCCGCAACTGTCGCGAAACAATGCGCAACATTGTTTATGTCTGGACTAGTCTTTAATGGCTCAGCAGTACTTGATTTACCGGCAAACGTAGTGAACGGCCATCCTTCTACACCAATGATCAAGACCTTCAAAGCATTTGTCCTTTGTATATAGGATGTCAATAAAGCTTTCGAATTTTGAGATTGACCTAAGATAAAGCTTTCATGCTCATAATAGACACGCGCAACGAACAGCAAACAAAATGTCAACGTTTAGAAGTTGAACCTTTCTTAATATTAATTCCAATACGCAATTTTAGATTATAACATGTAATTTGAAGATACATAGATATATTTACACTATTTACATATTTACATTGAGGGGAGCAAATAATCAATATTTATTCTTCCACTTCATTTCACTAAATAAACTTCACTACCTACTCCTCAGAAAGGAGGTCGGCGGGCTAATTCCTCTTGAGACGCGTTATGGGATTGTGGGGTTAGGCTCTGTTGGGAGAGTTTATTGTGAAACTTGGTAAATTTTTGGATAAATGTGATTTTAAGGTCGTTGAGGTGGGGGTAATATTGGAGAAAAAATTTATGATTGATATGAGGGTTTTAGATTGAAAAGATTGGATACGTTGGATATCAGTTTTATACCGTATGTCCAAATGTACAAACCTACCAGAATGTAAGTTTTTCGTTGATAGCTCGGATTGTTGTTCTATGGGTTTGTAGTGTACACCCTAGAGTCTGTTTAGTTTTGGTGACTGGGAGTTTTTTGGTGGCCCTGACATGGGCCGGTGTTGTTTGTAAGCGTAGCGACGAAACGATGTATCGAGGCTGGGACCGAGGGTGTGTGTGTCTGTCGGCAGAGAGAGCAGTTGGCTGAGGTCCGGGGTCGTGAGTCGGTTGAAGGGACTCTGCTGCAGCAGTTGGTCGAGTGCAGCGGTTTCCCAGTAGTCAAGTCGGCTATGTAGAGAAGGCGAGTTCGAGGCTAACGCTGAGAATACCCTTGCCATCATCTTAGGTGCTTCATTCAGGTGATAAGGCAGAACTCGTCGAGTAGACGAGTCTCAAGCCGGTGGGGCAGTGCCCCTGCTTATTATGTACGTACTGGCTCTGCCCTGATTCGCTACAGAGTGGAGACCGAGATCATTCCAGAACCGGTAGTGACACCTAACGGGTACCGTGGTGCCCACCTGTCATCCAGTCGTGCTGAACGTTAAGCGTGAATCTAGGTAGTAGAACCCAAATAACGCAGTCATTTTTGGAAGAGGAATATTGTTGTAGTGAACTATGACAGGTGTTCTTTTTTCCAAATAGTATAATGACATGGACGCACTTGATTTCGTTTACATTCATTTTCCATTGTCTGCACCAATCTGCTACACCATGTGATATCCCTCTGCAGATCTTCCGAAGCAACCGCAGGATCGGGGTCAAAAGTAGTACACCTGTGTCATCGGCAAATGATGCAAGATGGTGGTTTGTGGGAACATCTGCATATAAAGGATAAAGAGGATTGGTCCGAGCACACTACCCTGCGATACTCCCTCGCCGGAGTATTCGTAGTAATCTGATCCTTGTCGGACTCGAAAGATAAGAGCGATGAATTAAGTAGAGGGTATTTGGGAAGAACACTCTTTCATTTGTACAGGAGACCAATATAAGTTTGGACTAGGTAATAATTTGTAGTTGGACGTTCCCGATTATTTTGGTCCTACCTATTTTCGTCTGTCAGGTACGTTTCAATGCTTAGCCTTTTCTAGTGCCTTGTGCTATTTTATCAATCGCGTCCAAAACAGTAAAAGACCAGGATCAAGCTATAGATCCATCACCCGGCAGACCCCTAGAGGAAATCTCACAATTTTACTTTAAGCGCCTCTAGAGATTCAAGGTTAAAGATTTATTGACTATACTGACGATCTGCTAGCAATGTGGAACGAGTATGTTTTCCTGAAATAAAATCTACACCTCTTAATAGAAATGATAAATCTAAAAGAAATCTAAAAGAAACAAAACATAATTTCAATTCAAATCTAAATACAAGTGTTACCTAGTTTCAACAAAGGGAAAGAATTAAACTGGTTTGAGAAATTTGAAATTAAAAAATGTAAAATTGAACATGGTGATAAATGCATTAATAATATAACAGATTTTGATCTATCTCCCATTTTAAATATGTACATAAATAATATCAAACATCCAAATAATTAAACTAATTATTTTAATTGTTATTATTTTTATAGTAATTTAATAATATTAAGTATTTACTAGTATAATATTTATTTGTGCTATAAAAATCAGCTGCTAATTGGAACTTCGCGTTGGCGGAGGTATCAGCGGGTTCACTTTGGCAATTCATGTCGAGAGACGTGGTTGTAGAAGTCCTTCAATCTGATGATGAGCTAAAAGGCTCGAAATCCGGATCGTTGCAAAACAACTTACTGTGAGTAGGAACTATCTTTTTAAAAAGGATTAAAAAGGATCTAAACCTCTTTGGTATGAATGAAGGCAAGGATTTTTATGCATGAG